ATATTTGATTTGCATAATACCCGGGTCTTTTACAATTTTTTCGGCCTAAACTGCTGCAGGGTACTATACATAGGGGGGTATTTTAGTCAGCGCTCTGCGGTAGTTTTTTAATCAATCCGAAACTACCATCACACTTAAATTTAGTATGTCCCGGTACCATAAAATTTAATTCGATACTTTCATAATGACCGCAAATAACTAAATACAAATAAAATCAAATGGTTGCATTATTTTTATTCTGTCCACCCGCATTATCACAAGTAATTTTTAAATGTTTTTTGCCTTTATTCAATCTCTTAATTCCATTGAATACCAGGTTCAGTGTGCCATTAGGGCCTTTACCGATAATTTTGTTTTCATCGAGAACGTAATTAATTTGTTCGCGTGCTGCTTCATCTTGAATGCTAAATAAATGCACTTTACGCGGACTGAGGTAATAAATTTTACTCACCTGTTGATCAGAATAGGGTACGTGAACGCTTTGCGCTCAATCGTAACTATAATGAGCAGTCGCGTCAATGCTACAATAGGCTTTACCTCTTGTTATAAAATGCTCATTTACTAATTTTCTCTGTTGTTCTGCTAATTTCGTATTTTTGTGGTAATAATTTCTCTCAGATTTAGCCTTAACTAGATGTTCTTTGAATTTTTCAATAAATCTTTCGCTTCTTCTTCCTTACGAGCATTATACTGTAAGCCGTTCCGAAAATGTTGGCACGTGTCACATAAATCCGTTCTTGGACTCATAATTTGAATATACGGCGTTAATTGGTGCCATAATTTGCGGAACGCATCATATTTTAACGATTTCAAAGTGCTATTGTTTTCGAGACTCGCAATAAAATCACGATAAACCGATTTGTAAGTCGTTTCTGCTGGCAAAAGTGTAAGCGATTGAGTAATTCGGTTGACATTTCTACCAGGACTTGGTAATCCGTGTATTTCGGCGTAATTCTTGAGAAAATTCTTCACGGCAGTAGCAACAGTTATATCAATGGTTATTTTGGTTTTCCATCGCGGTACTCGTTTGATGTTACCGTGAATGCGTGGTATTATACCATTCGTTGCTAGATAATTTCTAACGTTTTCGAAGTGAGTGCGACCAATTCCTAACATATTGAGATACGTTTTCTGGCAAAGAGGCGTATTGCGATCTCAGTAGTAAAATGTTCGCTTATTAGTACGCATTTTCTTTTTAAGACGTCGACTAGTAGTTATTTCTCCACCATTCATTGCTTTCAGTTGGGCCATTAAAAATACATCTTGTTCGGATCTGGAGAGAGCTTGAAACGCTTCACGTAATTCAGCAAAATTTTCTCTCGGAATTATTTTCGAGGAATTATTTTCGAGCAGCCACAAACGCAACCTACAGAATATCTGTAGACAACTCATTAATATCAGATAGATTGTTCTCGAACTAATCTACAAAATCCTTACTAAATTTGTTATTGTAGTATGTGTTAAGTTGATTGGCCGGCGCGTGTGTGCAAACGGTTAAGCGGTTAAGCGCGTTTTTCAGTGACAAACTTGTTACGCGCATAAAATAAAATGTCTATTCCCGGCACACACAAATATTTTGAACGAGCATATTTTGAGTGGAGTATTATTGGGTTTTTGAACACTTGTATTGAAGAACCGTTTCAAGCAAAGATAAGCCTATATTTAACAAGCCTTAAGATTCTTATGGAGCACGAGGAAGGAAGAAAGAAAGACAAAGCTCAACAGTTTTCTGATAAATACAACAAGGCGAGTATAACTTTTGTCGCAAAGGGTGAGATAACAAATAAAGTGGGGTCGCAAGAATCTCGAAGTTTCTTGTAACTGTAAAGTCTTCAAAGTCGAAACCACGAAACTGGATGTTGGGGCCCAGGTGATCTCGAAGTTCGCCTGATAGCTTATAAGTCTTCTAAGTCGAGCCAACGCCGGACCCATTGGACGCAGAAGATCTCGAAGTTCGGCTGACGTTCTGATGGGAATGTTAATTAGACGGGATTAGATAATGTTGAGAATGGTTACTAATTTATCTGGATAATGCATTTTAAGGGACCTCGGATCGATCGTAAATTGGCAAGAAGGTGGGAACGTGAACGTACACGTAAGCAAATCTACTTCCATAACCCAGTGGTAAACGGGACTGTAAGTGGGACTCTGACTGTAAACGGTGGTGTCAACGGGACTATCAGCGGTGAAGACTTTAATGTAGAAACTGTGCCAAAAAAAAAAAAGAAATCGGGAAGAGGTTTGTATGCAAACATTGTCAGAACCGTTTGAGTGTCATGTCTAATCTTAATCTTTAAAATAAGGAAGAAGATCTGAAACGTACAAGAATCAACCGATGTCAAAGTATAAACCAAGGAAAAACTCCGGATTATTATCAAAAAACGTTTGTCTCATCTGAAGTGGAGAAGAATGTATGCTATGTATGCTTGTGTTATTTCCAATATTGTTTTGTGTTTTCATTAATATTGATTGGTTTTGCTTTCCTGCAGACTTTAGATAAGGAGATCGATGACTTTTTCCAGGCAGGTTCGGATCACAAACGGCTAAGCTTCAATGAAATAAAGACATCGGTAAGTCTTCCAAGCAAGAGGATGAGGCAGAGACAGGCTGAGTTACTGGTCGCAACAAATTAACTTATACTTTTACTGCTAATTAGACGCCACTGAACGACCAAGCGAAATGTGAAACAGTTCCTCCAGCACATCACATGGCTTGGGAGGATCCCTTCGTTGATGATTATACTGATGATGACTGCGTTGATGACAAGAGCCTGATTATGACTACGTTGACGAGAAGACCACCAATGATAAGTCTAATACATCCCCAATTGAGGCAGATTTGGTCAAATTCCAACAAGCTTACTTAGCCATGGACCCAGATCGTATGTGGACACTGAAAACTGGTACTAAAGTAGAGACAGTTGTGTACGAATTTGCTAAAAGCCTGCGCAGAGAATCCTATCTTCATTCTTTTATAATCAACGATGCTGATGCCGAAACGAGATCATTATTTTCACCCGAAGAATGGAAAGAAATTAGAACTTTCAAAGCCAAGGAGAAGCCAAAACTTGATCCCTGTCACAAGAACTTGTTAAAAAAATACACAACGAATGATATTAGAAAGCTAAGATCACTTCTCTTCGAATCATTTACACCCGACGGCAAAGAATATAATCGGAACGATCATTTCTGTCTTGATTATATAAATAACGCTTATCGCGGAATCTTACGTTTATGGGAGATGGACAACAATCCTTTTGATTCTTCGAGATTAGAGGGATGGTTCGCGATGAACATCTGGAGCCGACTTATCGATCCTGCATTAGACGATTTAAATGTTAATTTGATCCGTGGCGAGGGGATGAGCTTCGCTTCCAGCGAAAGGAAGAACGCTCAAAGGAAGGTCAACACTTATAAAAAATTCGGAAGAAAAGGAGATGGCGTCTTCAGGTTACCCAACAGTCGTTTAGAAGTCGGTGCAATTGAAGCCGGAAGGAAATATGAAGAGAAAAGCGGTACGAAACATTTGTCCGATTCGCTTAAATTGTCTAAAATGCTGAAGGACATGATGGATAAATTAATTAAAGAGTACTCAATGGTGCAAATAGGCTACAAGTTCTAACCGTCGACCGTCCTAAAGGATATGTTACTCGAATGAACCATAATAATATTCAAGAAGTCGCTGGCAGGTTGACAAACACCAAACCGCTTGCACTTGTATTAAAGGAAATTTTGTATGTACGATCTATTATCACCGCAACAATGGATATAATTGATAAACATGATTTAGACATTGACACCTTTCTTTTGATGACGATGGTTATCACACACCTCCAACCAATACCGTAGCGAACACATTTACAACGCCGCCAAATAAACCACGAGCAAAAAAAAAAGATCAATAAGGTTATTAGAATATCAATATCACATTGTGACATAATTATTTTACGTAATAAAGATTTCGCCAATTCGTAATATAAATGTCTAGTCCGATAAAATATCATTGAATTAGTTATTATTATTACTAATTATTATGTAAGTTTGCTCTTGGTACAAAGGCTTGATAACAATGAAGGCTTACGAATCCGAGTCATGAACTTTCGCTTTTTTATAGGACCTAGTGGATAACTACTTTTCGAATTGAATCGACAACTAACTCCGTAACCCAGCGGTCATTTACCTTCCGTATACATAACCTGTTGGAAAAGCGGAGAAAACGTTTAAGACAATACATTCTCATGACTGTAAATGAGAGAGACAAGGATTAGCAAGCATAAATCCCGACATATTCATGACTATAACTGAGAGATAGGAGGATATACCAGGTAGAATGCTATTGTATGCCATAAAATACCTGAATAAAATATAGTAGATGATTCTTAGACACACAATAACTGAGTTGAAACTTTATTTCTCGTATTAAACAAAGAGATCGGTAGAATCATGGCAGATACGATATGCGCATCCATTCCTAATATTAATATCTGTAATTATCTTCTAATTCGCGATGACCGCCATTTGATACAAAGATAAGACCCGCTGATAAAGCGAGCAACTTGACTGTTGGATAAAATTAGGAGGCATAGTATATTGTTGCAAATCACTGGACAAAATTGATTACTTCGATACGGATTCTTGTGCCACGACTTTATTACCCTCAATTGAAAGACCCAAATTTTTTATAAAGTTGAAAAAAACCCGAGTTTTTGAATTTTGGATTTGTTTCCCCACTCACAGTGTCCATCAACTTCCTGGCGGTTCTTGCAAGTTCAGAGTTAGTATTCCCAGCAGATTCTTGGTTTTGGAATTCAGATGCCCACGATGATTCTTGCGTTTGAAATTCTGATTGCCAGACTGCACCTGGAATGAATAACAAAATCAAGCGTTAACAAGAAAAAGTATTGTGAGCGTTGATACAGCAATATTGTGTCAACAATAAGACGGTACTGATAACACGTCCGACAAATTCAAGCCAAAATTTCGTTCATTCTTACAATTTTCCGCCTCCTCAAACGCTTTTTCGAATGCCGCTGCCTCGTCGGGATCGATATTCGTGGGTGATGTAAATTGGACAAAATCTTCAGCCCAATTACCTATTTCAAAAATGAATTGGTTTAAACATACCTAATCAAACTCATACTAGTGGTGTTCAACAAAGACAAAAATAGTTCACATGTATGTGACTGATTTGGTAACGACTGAGAAATATTATAACTAGTACCAATGCTCTTCCGAAATTCCGATCTTAGAACCTTTGGAATGTAATTAAAAGGGATCGATCATGCTGGGTTAATCGTTCCATATCATATCGAATGATAATGTGTAATGTGATAAACAATGGTGCTAATCGAATTAATTGTGAAGAACAATACAGTGGTGAATCTCAGAGTTGGAAAGTATTCTTAATAAAACATTAAAAAGGGAAATTGAAGAATATAAAACAACATATCGATATCAAATGACTAAAATAAATGAACTAGAAACATATTAAAAATAATTTATCACAAATTAACGAACTAAACTCTATTATCAGAAAAATCAATCAAAGTTTGATGAATTAAAGGAACTGTTAGAAGTGAAAGATGAAATAATTAATGAACGAGAAGAACTATTAAAATTAACATTCCCCAATGGATTGGGGTTAAGTTAACTAATTATAATAATCTTAAAAAATCGTACGACGAATGGGTTGAATTTGCTAAAAATCTTGAACAAAAGCGTAAATGTCTTGTATCATCAAAATGTGTATTAAGAAGTAAGGTTATATAGTTAAGAGGAAAAGATTGGTTGGATATAGATTTCAATAAAGCTGTTGAAGACGTAGATTTAGGGTTTTAGTTATTATTTTATTATATGTATGGAAAAGATTGAAGGAATTTCACGAGAATATTAATTTAGTTTAACATATAATAATACAGTAATTTATGTATTTCAATATCATTACATATGAATATAACAATAAATCTCAATATTAATATCCAAATTTAAATGGATGAAGAAAGGATATCATTTGCAAATAAATCGATATTGTGAAGGAGCTTGTGAAAAAAAGAACCAAGTATTCACTAAAAACGGAATAACAAATGATAGCTTGGAAGATTTACAATGAACGTAGTCTCCGTTAGATATTGTGAAAAAGAACTGAGTATTCACTAAAAAAATGATAGTTTGCAGATATTGTGAATGAAAAAGAACTGAGTATTCACTAGTACTAGTACTAGATATAACTAATTCATAAATCGATGGACAATTTGGTGAACGAGTTCAATAGAACGTATCAAGATGCGAACTGAAAACATTAGTCTCTGTTAGACATAGTGAACAAATTCATGAAAAATATTAAGCATATACAATTTATTAGATGAGAAGAAAATATATTAGCATAAGATGTAATAAACAAGATTAGATATATTAAACGAATTCATGAAAACGAATAGGTATGGAAAACACAATCTCCGTTAGACATAGTAAACGAATTCATAAAACGAATATTAAGCAATTATAAGTGCGCGACATATGCATAAAGTTAACGAGTTATTAAGTTGTTTTTATAAGTTTTTTGCACGCAATATCATGACGTATTAATATTGTTACTAATTTCATCTTGTGGCCAGTTTATAATAAAAAACATTGACTTTATTTCCATCAAATAAACAACAGAAACAAACTAATAAATAAATTCCAAACTCGAATCTATACCTATGTTCTCTGTTTTAATCTGTGCTATTGCTACTAGGGGTAGGAGTGGGATCGGAATAGTAAGAGGAAGAAGAAGAAGAAGTATAATAAGGTTGAGGGGGAGGGGGTTTTTTATTACCATTGCAGTCTTCGACAGGTACTACTTTTGCAATCCCCAAAATAAACTCTTTAGTGGCAATAGCAAACTCGTTCACCACAAAGCAACATTTGTCTTTGATGTCTTTGATTGATTTAGGACTAATGCCGAGGTCGTCGGAATTGGTGAGGATTGGTTCGTCGAAAAATCGATCATCCAAGTCGATAATAGCAGGGTCGCTAGGTTCCGCGGTGTCGGCCGAGCTGCAATCGGCTACGTGAAGATCATATGAGAAGGCCCCAATACTTCCGTCTGTTACACCTCCAACTGTTACACCATCAATGTCGATAAAGCCACTGGTTTGCAATTTGTTTTTGGGTGACTCCGTGAATGAGAGAATACCGTTAAATGTGTTGCCAAGATAATTGGGCCGGGTGGAGATGATCACATCGCCTTTATTAAACACACATGCAGAAACAGGACAACATTCTTTATTCCATTTCTTTTCAAGAGGCGATGCATTAGCTGGTGTAGAGATTACGGCGAGAAGGGTGACAAAGAGAAAAATCAAGTAGGCGGCTTGGCTCATTTTCGTTGAGTAACTTGACAGTAAACTGTGTCGTTATAGAAGGGTTGATTGCTGTTCGTATGAAATTGTCGACTCGTTACTGAGCTGTCGGATAAGAGTTTGAATTCCGTTGTTTATATAGCTGCAAAAAAAAAATCAAGTTAATATTGAACAATATTTTAACTATCGAGTATGCAATAGTTTAGGAATAGATATCAAGTATTGATTGAACAGACGCATTATCAGTTTAAGATTTTTCTATTTTTAAAAATAAAATCGCGTATGGACAATGGATCGCTTTTTATGCGCTAGTCGATAATAATCTATTGAACAATATTTTAACCATCAGTATGCAATAGTTTAAAAATAGATAATCAAAGATTAATAGGACAGATGCATTATCAGGTTTAAGGAAAAGATGAAAGTCGCGTATAGACAAAGGATTACTATTTAAGTATGAGTCTGTATTGTTTTGGACTACTCAAAGGTCGAAACTACAATGTCGCCAATATAAACAACTCTAAGTATTTCTAAGTTGCTGCATGGAAATTTCGATCTTTTCATTGAGTTATTGCTAAAAAGGATGTCATAAAAAATTTTTCATTGTCATGGGTCATTACTCTTTTTTAGATAACAAGATCACGAAGCATGCTGTCTTTGCATCAGAATTTACAAAATTTTTTTTCATTGTCACGATCATTGCTCTTTTTTTAGATAAAAAATCACGAAGCATACTGTCTTTGCATCAGAATTATGAACATTATATTTCTACATCGAAACCGAGAATCTTTTTCTAAAGTTTGAATACCTAATGTTAATTGTGACACTTCGCAAATATAGCAAGTTGATCGTCGAGAACATGTATCTATGTAAATAAAAGTTGATCGTCGGGAACATGTACCTATGTAAATAAATGGCAAGTTAATAAACACTGTTGTTAATTGAAAATATGTTGTGTATATGCAAAGTTAGCGGCGTGCGTGGGAAGATGGTGTTGTATGATCATATTACCAATGAGAATTATTTATATACGATCATCCATCTTATACTATCGAATTTATTCTTTTTAAAAATACCGACTATCCCTTATTTTTTTGCAATTCAGGATCTACAACATGCATTATTATTATATCAGATGAGTTAAAGATAATGCAAGTTAAAAATAATTCATTTCGTTGGATGACGATGAAAGAATAAGAGCGAAAAGTCTATTTAGAATTGTAAAAGATTGGTGTTACGACATACTTTTAAAATTGTCTTATTACATTAATGAGATTATATATTCGGACTAAAGTTGAATAAATTAGTATGTTTATCATTATTAGCAATTAGATTTAAAATGTCGTACGACATACAATCATAGAGCCAATAAATGATAAATACAGTTCACGTTTATTAGACACGAGACGCGAGTGATTTTCATAGGATATAAATTTTGTGTACCGTGCGATGCAAATACTTTGAGACGGGAAAACTCGTTCATGTTGGTACCAAACATTCTTCCGAGCCTAGACTTCCGCCTTCTGTACTTTCAGTACTCTAAATTATTCGTAAATATACTGATAATTTGGTTAATGAGTTCAATAGATTGTAAATATCATTACTGAATAATCAACAGGAAAGTTGGACGCTCCGTGATCTTAGTTAATTAGGCTGAGAGGATTATTGTCCAGAATATCAGGATCAATATCGTCTACAAGATAATTTATTCCTGAAATACCCGAAGAAGAATCTTTGAAGATTTTGAGATCAATGACGATATTTAGCTGAACTATATTAATATGATAAACTTGTAAATAATTAGTTTATTGGATGACGAAGAATTTAAATTATACGTTCTATTACTTATTTAATAAAAGAGATTTTTTTATTTATAAATTATTATATATAAAAACATGAAAAAAAAAAAATTACAAGACAAGTTACAACACATATCTTCTCTTTTCTCTCCTTTTTCAATGTTAACATTAATTCCTTCTCCCTCTCTTCCCCCCTTTTCAATGCTATTTCCACCATCTCTTTCAATTCTTGTTTGTCGCTGCATTGTGTGGAACAATGTCTATCCCTCCCTTTCTGCGAGAGCACGCAGGTTAAGAGCAACAAAGTCTCTCAGATCCTCTTTTTTTCTTTATTCATTTTCTGCTTCTTGTACATAATACTAACGTATGAGCGAGAAAGATTTTGTTATTTGGTTCTTTCCCAATATTGATCGAAATATCTGTACATTCTCCAGTTTTTCGTAAAGTCAGATAAAAGACTCGAAGACGAATCGACTATGTAACTCATTTTGTAGCGTGGTAAGCTTACAAGTCGCGTTGTTTAACTGGTGCGTGATGGTGCGTGATGGGATTGTACTGCTTTCTTTAGCTAATCTGCAAGTAGAAGTATTTCATATGGAATAAAACCACCTGTGATAAAGTCTATGTTAATTATCTACGAATACTTTCCCATTTGATATTGTGTACGAAGGTCGTCACGCTAAAGGACAAATGCATGATTTAAAAATAATAGACAAAATAGCCGAGACATTCTGATGATAAAAATGAATTTGAAAATGTTCAGCAGATTTGAAGTTACCATGGATTTTATTTCAGTGATATAGTAGAAGGTTGTCGGCAGTGCTAGAAAGACCTACTGTACGCGTTTTTTCTTATAACTATTGCAACCGTTTAGTAAACACATTGGTAGATGTTCATTACTTACAGTAGAAATATTTGCCAATGGCAAGTAGTACTAATCAGCACGTTGATACTGTATTTGGTGATTGTCATAATATGGAGGTTGATTCCTACAGCGAATAATTCGCAAAGATTATGGCACATGTACCCAAGTTGGTTCATTCTGAGATAAGTTGAGCCCGTGAGGATGCAACTGATGTGATGTTCAGCCCCCAATGTCATTGTTTGATACATTAATTAAACATAGTAATAGAACAATTCGCTTCCGCTTTATCAGTTAACTAATACTACTCTATCCTGAATAAGTTAAATTTCTAGCTGCACAAGTCACATATAAGATCAGTGAATCACATCAAATATCTTTTCCTGAAGTTTTGCGTCCTTTTATTAGCTACACCCAAAATATCTTTTCCTGAACCCCCTTTGGATACCATACTTAATAATGTGGATCAAAATTGTTATCGCTGGAAAAGCTGATGAAGATCCAATTTGACTAGTTATCATCACAGCCCGTCCTCGCCGTTAGACGGAATTTTATCGTTCGATACAACGGTTTCTACTGGATTGTCATTTTTATCACTTGACGTCTGTCTTTCTTCATTTAAGCAAGCCCGATCAGCCTATAACGAGAAGAATCTTGAGAATTCTAGACTTATGGATAGTTTTTACCGTCGTCAAACAAGCATACCTCAATTATTGCCACACAAAATTCAACGAGAGGGTTTATACACCATCTTACCGGCTTCCAGAAACCGGTAAACCATCCAAGGTGCCCTCCATGAGATGTAGTAGCCAAAATCACATAGGGGTTAAACCTTAAACGGAGGCAGACTTAGTTGAGCGATTATCACCTTTATTGATTATTTGCATGTTACTTTACCTGCACTCATCATATGGAATAACTTCACATGTAGATATAGGATCGTCTTCAGCAGTCAAGCACAACAAAGGAATGCGCACTTTGGTGATAAAACGACAAGAGCTGGCGTCACGATAATAATCATTCACAGTGTCATAACGAAAGATTAAACGCGTCAGACGATCGTCAAATTCTCTAACAGTTTTTGCCTATTAAAATGGACGTAGTTTAATAATAAGAATAAACCCGTGCCACAGACTTCTACGTGTTTCGAATAGGCAAAATGTCGGTAGCATCCATAAAGTTATGATGTACGTCGATAGCACTGAAGAGTCTTACCGCAAGCACGTGTTCAGAACGGATTCGATTATCCAGCTTGAGAACTTCCTGGTGTTTGAGAAAGACTTTCTTCAAATTCTCTGCCATTGCGGGAGAGTATACTGTTTTGCCCAAAAATCTTCGTTCCAACGACATATTCCCACTGTTGTTTTTTTTTTTTTTTTTTAAAAAAAATGGGGTTAACTACCAGTAATTGTTTGATGAAGTAAAAGAGCATAAACACATACCCAACCAAATCAAATGGATTAGCAATAGATATTGCACCGATGATAGGTGTCTTGTCACTCTCTTCTCCAAGATACTACAAAAGCATTATCATGTCATGACAACTTAGTAAGAAACCCTAGGAGAAATATTATTCACAAGTAATATATGGCATGTTCATACCTTTACCAGTATATTTGAACCTAGGCTAAAGCCAATTGCAAATATCTTAGCATCTGGAGCACGGTTCTGGATTTGTTTCAACGCTATTCTCAAATCTTCGGTATACGCGGCGCAATACATTTGGGGCGTAGTAATTTTTGATTCAGCACATCCACGGGCATTAAATACCACTGCCCGATAATTGTGCGGGGGGTTCGTCAACGACTCCAAGAGACTACGTATATATGATTCATGACTTCCTGAGCATATGATTCCATTAGCTTACTAAAAATGAGCCTTTACTATGAGAATAACACCTTTTTTACCTCCAGTCAAGCCATGTAAAACAACAACTATTGGGGTATCGTCGAATGGTTTTTGGCTTGTCGGAGGAGTCCAATCGAGAGTAAACTGTCCACCATCTGGCGTAGTAACCAACGTTCTAAAAAAGAATCAGGTTATAAGGTCATGGCAGACGGCTAAAGGCCTACTGAAATAGTTCACAAGCTTGCAGTTACCTCTCATAGACAATCTTGTGTACGTCGTCAAAGTTTTTATAGGCAGCATAAGCGGTCTGTAAGTGTCCGTTGAGAAGCCAAGGGGTCGGATAAAATTTCGCACTTTCACCAACTAAAGACGGACAGGTGCTTGCTATATGATCGAGTAGTTGGATCTTATCTGTTTTGTTCGTCGTCTTATCGCGAACATTTATATCTACTGTCTGAGGGTTTGCGTGAATTCTCACTGGGGCACCAAACAAGAAACGCATTTCAGAGCAACCTGATCGATTTTCTCCTTCATGGTTATTTCAGTATTTTGAAAGGTAGTACAAGTTGAAGCCATGAAAAAGCAAGCAATTCGCGTAATCATTTTCTTAATATTAATATTAATATTAATTAATTAATTAAAGAATGTGTTTAGCCACAAATTAGTGTTGGGGGTACTGGTAACCTGTACCCCTGTTCTACTAATCGTGTTCAATTTTTGACTGAAGACATGGTCGCCCGCGTCGAAATAGTTTTGGTCTTTGAACACTGAAATCCCTCGTTTTGTTACAAGCATACCCTACAATATCTTTCACACATCCAACAATGAAGAAAATTAATATGGTCATTTACTGTAATAGCAGAGCGCATTCCTATACCATGCGCGGAAACTGATTGATTGAATATTGGTCTTGATTCTTTTTGACCGAAGTGATAAGAATGTGGATTAAAAGATAAATTAATGACGCTCGTCTCGTTTGAACGGTTCATATTAATTACGATGAACGGCACTGTCGAGCAAAGTTCATAGCATTCATGCAAAGAATTATGCGACATTTGCTGAACTGATGCTCGAAAATCAGATGAGATAAAACGAGTTGAACTTGTCGGAGAGCTAATTTCTAGTCAGATCATTTGGAGTGAGTGGGAACATGCAAACAAACGTCAAAATAAAAAATTTTTCAGTATTACGTCTTCTGATGAAGCACCAAGGTAAAAAGTTATTCACTTCAGTCAATAAATATTCTAACCCTATTTGGGATTTAAGAAGAAGAAGATTTTTGATGAAATCGATGGTTTCCGCGTGTGGTGATGTCAGGATTATTATTTTTCTTGTGCATGCCAGCCCTTGCATTGGCCTTTCTTTCTAGCTACCCAGATTGCTGACAGGAGAATGTGAAAAATGTTTATTCTCACTAAATAATATAATAGTCTCCATGAAATCGCCCACCAAAATTAATCAGACCATCGAATCCAAGTCTGCGTTGCACACTCAATTGATAAAAAGATGGTGAAATAGAACAGTGGTGTTATTTACATTTTTAGAGTAAAAAAGAGGGAATGAAAGATAAAAAATGACAATGAAATAACCTCGAAGAATATTTCATATAGGTAATTTGTTCAAGTGAATCTATAGATAACGATGTTGACGAGAATTGGAAATAGATCAGATGGTTGTAATGAGTGTTATTCTTATCTTAGACCATTGCTCCATCATCATTATCATAAAACTACTATTACTTTTGTTACTCTATAGCAACTTGCAACCAATCTCGTTCGAATTCGTTATAAGATGGTTCAAGTATCCATGGTTTCTTTTCCATGTCTCCTAATTCACAGCAAAGGTGATTTAAACATTGTCCAAAGCGAAAAAAGTCAAAAGGTACAAGCATATTGTCTTAAATAAACGGGGGAGATGTACACATTCCTCCGCGTTATTGTCAATAGATAGATATCTATTTCTTGCCATTAATATGATTGTACAGTCTCCTGTGGGGGATACTGCTGCCACCCGTAAAGCCAAATTGTGATGATGATGACGACGATGACGACGACGACGATGATGATTGTGCCGTTTTCTGACGGAATTCAGCTAGAATAACAATATGACTATAATTGACAAGATGCGGTAATTCAAAGGTAAAGAAAATTTAGTAAAAACTTAGTACGATATCTACTAATAGTAAAAATGCTTCCGAATGTAACTGAAATTTTACTGACTCTGATGGAAAATGCACATTTGGAAATCCAACCATCTTCGATACATATTCCTTATCTATTCCACCAAGCAGTCCAGTCACAGTCAACGAATGCGTAGTATGCCAAATATAGTCTATGACCCCGGTAAACGAAGGGGTAAAATTCGTGAAAGGCAACTCTCCAATATTTGCATATGCAGACTTCAGCGAGAACCTATGAGATAATCCCTCGGATGTATAAGTCCCATATGCATGATCCCCAAAATCATGATGATCTTGTTGTACGGTTCCATGACCGAGAAAGTCATACACTCCAGATCCAGGCGTCGAATTGAAGTCACCGCAGATAATTGTGGACATTTTTGTAGGAGGCGAATAATTATGGATTGGATTAGTGGACTGAGCACACCATTTCTCGGCATACTTCTCAAGCTCATCCGTCAGCATGGCCACTTGGACGAGTTTCACATCCGCAAAAGAGGGATCCCAATGAATATGGCAATTGGCAACAATGAGGCGAGCTTGAGTTTCTTTATTTTCGAGCAATGTTACAATTGCAATATTGTCTTTCGTTATTACCCGGTTAAACATCTCATCAGTCTTCTTAAAATCTGGTCTCTGTAATGCGATCTGGTTGAATTCTATCAGTTGCTTATCGATCAAGGTATACCTTTATGATGACAAGGAAGAAAATAGGCAGTACAAAAAAGTGTCAGCAAATGTAAGCAAATATCGTAAACAGAATCAGCTCGTATTGATGCAATAAATAATAATAGTTGAAATTCGCAATAATACTTTGACGCCTTAAAAAATGTTGCACAGCCGTCCACAGTTTTCTTCTCCCACTCTGACATCGTTTTTGCACGAGACTTTGGCCAATAGACACTATCATAATCGGCCTGCGTACGGAGTTGATCTTTGAAAAATTCTTCATATTGGCTCGTGTCAACTTCCTGATAAGTGAAGCAGATGAATGTTAACAATCGAATACTAGACGTTTTCATTCTAGAAAATAAACAATGGCTAAACAGATAATATGTCCTCATATCCAATACAATTTTAACCTTGAATGAAATGACAAACCTGCAGACACATGATATCCGCATTATATGATAATACTTCTTGTAGAATTATATCTTTACGATAGTTCCACGCAAGCGCCCATGAAGGCATGTATCCATAATGTTGAGAGGTGGCGTACTTTTCGCAGAGGACATTGTAGGAAAGGAGAGTGAAGACATCTGTTTCGCATAGAAAAACAAATCAATCCGTCAAACACCATGTTGAGAACAGAATGGTAATACCCGTTGGCACTTCCTCGCCATTCTTTGCCTCTTCCGTATCGCCATTGTCCCGGTATCCAAGACATACCAGGACTATTTGAATTACTCGGATCATTATCCAGTGGTATCCATTCTCGGTCTGCCGGTTGCTGTGGTACTGATGGGAAAAGTTTCGCATTTATAGACACGATTATTAGTAAATGAATTGAAAATGTATTAGGCATGTTAATAAACCCATGTTGTACATATCAACTTGTCGACGACATAAAAAATAACTTTCTAAACAACAAGTGGCTTGCTATCGCCACAACCATCATGTCTTTCGTTAATTCGAATTCTCATATTTTCTCCTTGAATTCTCCTGCCCACCCGACAACACATACATGGACTTGAATCCCGAAGATATTGTATGACAGCTGGAGTTCCTTCTTTCTGTAACATTGATTTAATGGGTTCTGAGATCGGATTTCCCTCCAGGCCAAGGATCTCCAACCGATACAGAGTTCCCAGCTCGTACGGCAGAGTCATCAACAAATTATCAAACACCAATAACTCTCGCAGCCTAGTCACCATACCCAATTCAGGAGGCAAAGACGTCAATTTATTTCCGGAGACATCCAACACAGTTAAACGTCGTAACTTTGCAATCTCGGGCGATAATCGAGTCAGATTGTTATGTTTAATGTATAAAGTAGTCAAAAATGAATAGTGAAATAGTTCATTACTAATGTTCTTAAGCCCCATACCGCCCAAATCAATAGTTTTCCATTGGCTGGACCGATCTTTTTTATTTCCAGAACTCTTCTCAACACCTACACCATTTACAGGAGGTTTATTAGGATTGTTTGGATCTGTTATTGCAACGGCCGAACTATTATTCCTTGCTGCCGCTGCTGCCTGTCGTGCGTGGTGATGAGGAGAAGCAGATTGACGAGACGACTGAGCATACAATAACTGCTGTTGCCAGTGTAGAGAGCCAATCCCAGTTGACAAAGGGTTAGAAACTCCCGTAGATAACGACACAGTCAAGGGTGGTTGCTGAGTCAAGATAGAGCCAGGTGGTGGTAATGCTTGTGCAGGAGGACCAGCAGATTGATTAAGTAATGGATGTGGACCGAAAGAGTGGTTCATCGTCTGTTGTAGTTTGGAATGTATCTTCGACGGAAACGGGAAGAGGGGCATATTATTTCCATACATCGTGGGCACCCCATGCGAAACTGTATAGCTGAGTGAAGGTGATGTCTGTGAGGGCGAGGTTGTTGGCGATGGTGTATTAGTCGGAGATTGAACGGGAGACACTGGGATATTGGGACTATTATAAATTAATTGGTGATAAGTGTCCATGATGTTGTTAAGAAAGAGAAATTTTTAGCATCTGATAATTGGCTATTTTTTGTAGAGGTGTATTTCTCTTGCAATGAAAGTAATCGAACCTCGTTCTTGAACATTTTTGTGAAACCGCCAAAACCAGAAAGTTTTAACATTAACGTTAAGTTTGTGCTTGACAATTCGTCCAGTCATGTGGTCCTACTTCCAGTTCACGTGATTAAGTTTTTTTTTCTAGTTAGCCAACGTGGGACCACATAGGGATAATGCAGGTTCACCCCCGGCTAGTTTACCATATTTTCCTAGACAAGTATCAATAAAATTACACCATTTTAAAGCTAAATGATTGTAGTTTCAATTGAGAGATATCAGCAATTTTAAGATATTACTGTTGCGGTGTGAGGAGGAGATGAAGCTTCACTTGCTTAATTACTATTGATATTAAATGATCGACGTAAATCGTATTTATTATTATACTTTTGGCAGTGTAGGTGAGAATTGGCGATTTGATTTAAAATTTCAGTTTTCCTAATAAAATCTGTATCGTATTTATACCTTTGGCGGGGGTTGTATTCTATAAGTGCATGGCATTCTTTTGCCTTTATACTGTATGTGAAAAATAATATTCTCATGTATTAGTTTCTCCCCAACATATCACGAATGATGAACCTTATTACTTAGTCGTGCTCTGCGAAC